CTTCTCCCTCTCCCCCTCCCCCTGCTTGTGTTCCCTCTCTCGCTGTGTCTCTCTCTGTCAAATAAATAAATAAAATCTTTAAAAAAAAAATAAAAAATAAAAAAAAGAGCATAAGGAAACTTATTGAAGGTGATGGGTATGTTTATTATCCTGATTGTGGTGATGGTTTCACAAGTGTATGGAATATGTCCAAACTCCAAAATCATCAAATTACATTCATTGAATATATGCAGGGTTTTTCTGTGTATCAGTTATACCTCAAAAAAGAGTGGTGTGCCAATAAACTAGCCATGGGATAGAGAGGATCCCAGACTTAGCGTAATTGCTAATTTCCATGGTATAAATATTCCCACCCTGACCAATGAATGTCCAGCTACTGTGATATCACTGAACTTGGAGTTGGAAGAGATGCACACCTTCTCACTGTACAAGCCAGCTCTGGTATGCCACTAGATAAGAACGCTTTGGAGACAACTGAAGAAATTTGAAAGTAGACTGGGTATTGTTGGCTGGTATTATTGAATTTATATAGATTTTCTTAGATGTGGTAATAGTAATGTGAATGTGTGGACGAGTGCCTCTATTCTTGTGAGATATATGCTGGAATATCCTGATGGCATCCCTGGTGTTTAAAGACTACACTCAGGGCGCCTGGGTGGCTCAGTCGGTTAAGCATCTGCCTTCAGCTCAGGTCATGATCCCAGGGTCCTGGGATCGAGTCCTGCGTCGGGCTCCAGAGCCTGCTTATCCCTCTGCCCCTCCTCCCATTCATTCTCTCAATCTCTCTCTCTCTCTCAAATAAATAAATAAAATCTTCAAAAAAAATAATAAAGACTATACTCAGATGGGTGTGTGTATGTGCACGTGTGTGTGTGTGTGTGTGTGTGTGTGTATTAAGAGAAAAAGAAAATGTACCAAGAGGTTGATGGCTGAAGATATGGGTGAGGGATACATTGTTGTTCATTAACAAAACCGTTCTTTCAACTTTTCTGAGAGCATAATAGTTTTGAAAAGAAAAAATTAATTTGTTACCAACTGAAGATTTCATATAAAAATCTGGATTTTCATTTTCTACTGAAGAGTCTAAAATTGCAATTTTGGGCTCATGTTCTCAAATAGCACCATTTACCTGAAGCTAACAGACTGGAGATGTGCTTTCCAGTCGATCTTAACCTGGCCCTCTCCTCCTTTGAGTTACCCTCCTGACCCCTGTGGACATTGCATTTGTGCTCCTGGTCCAGAAACCATTCAATGAACTTAAGATGGCCAGCTTCCAAGCACTTGATGGAGAAGAAAAAAAGATGGTGCCTATTTAGTATTCTATTGTTGCTTCTGTAATTATTCTTTTGTACGGTTCCCTAGGCTAATATTTAAAACTAATTTTATGCTTTCTCAAACTCGTTTTACCAGCTCCCTCTGCTGACCCTTTCTAAAAGGATGACACAGCTTAAATCCCTTATAAATTCTGGATTTTAAAATCATATTTCTGGGGTTAGAGAGCTCTAGACATGAAAGAACTTGATGAGGTGACAGTCACCTAAATTACTTTATTCTTTGGACTGCCCCTATGATGGCTCAAAGGACTAACGATGCAAAAGTGTTTGGCAGGCCGCAGGCCTGTTTCAGGAACGACTGTGACGTTGGAGGTGACTTTGGCGCCCTCTAAAGGTTACCATGAGAAGAGCAGCCGCTGAACAAGCTTTCCTTGAAGTTTCCGGCTTTGCCGGAACTGTGACGTTTAAGAGGGTGGGGAAAAGGGGCAGAAGTAGTTTACGTTCTTTGATTCCAAAGCCAGTATTGTAACTCGTCATTTAGCCCTCCCCTGAGATCACGGAAGTATCCAGCTCTTGTCCTACACAACTTTTTATCCTCGGTGAGTGGGACACTTTCTGCTGTCACCAGGATGACTGGGAAGGCAAATGGTTTTGTTTCACTGAGACCACTTGATCAAAGTCAGCTTTCCTTTGTTTTCCTTTTAGAACAAAGACTTTGAGTTTTGAAAAAAATAATTTAAGGCAAACACTGTCTTTGTCTATTTGCTTTGAGAAATAATTTGTCAGAGTATCTGCTCTGTGCCAACAAGGTAAGTGTCCTGGATTATTCTTCTTTGCTGTTGTCTTTTTTTTTTTTTTTAATGGGGAGATGTTTCCAGAAACTGCTTTTTCAGCGGATGAATATTCTCCTTGGTAAGTGCATTCCTTAGAAATGTATGTGATTCTCTTCTTCAGGAGCCTCTTGATTAGGGTTAAATTAAGGAGAAAGAAAGCAAAGGAGCATTGTAAGGAAACAAAGTTAGGTTGTAGGGAGAAACCATCTGAAAGAAAGGTGTTGGTTGGAATCATAGAATCATGGGACTTTCTATAATTCTCTTCTCACCTCTGATTTCATCTGATGGATGAACTGGTAGTGCCAGGCATTGGGAAACATAAAATCCTCCACAGTTTGGTATTAGGAAATTCTATAACAATGTAAGGGCATTGGTGGGTGATGACAAGAAATATAAACAGATGAGATTCAAATAAATCATAATCCACCGCATGATTTGCAAATCACCCAAATCTCTCCATGTCTCGAAAATGATTCCTACATTTTCTGGTCTGGCAGGTTTGGGATGGGGTTTTCAAGTCGTTCAAAAGCCAGTTCAATAGTTTAGGGCTCATCTCTACCAAGGAACTCATTATAAGCAACATTTGAGCTACAGAGGACCTTCCATTCATAGCACCCTTTCTAGTTTACAAAGAGCTTACACACACCTTATGTCCTCACCCCCCCCAGCCCCCAGCCTCCACCCCCACCGTTCCCCCCCTCCCCATCCTTCAAGCCTGCAGTATCTCTCCTACCTTTCAATTCACACCTATTTTGGTACCAAATACTTGTCATTCAGACATAAAAACAATTCTCTTGGGCTGGAAGGGAAAAGGGGAAAACCACTAGAAACCTCTGTTTTACAAATGTGGGAACAATCTCACAGGGAAATAAAGATATTGTTTAAATGTATACAGCTGGTTAGAGGCGGAGGGAGAACTAGAACCCACATCTGCCCATTTCCAATTCACTCACCAACTTCCCTCAGTGATTCGAAGCCTGTTTTTTAAATCACTGCCCTCACTCGGAGATTTGTAATCTGCAAGTGTTGTGTAATTTTAAGAGACATAAATTCCCAGTTTGTTTTTGCGGCCTGAACAGTCTCTTAAGTTGGTCTGTAAAGGACAAGGTGTTCTCACCCCAGAAAAACACAGCCCACTCAGCGTCTCTAACTAGGCCTCCAGGCAGAGTTAAACAGCCCAACAGTGCTGCAAACGTCTGTACCCAGAGCACGCTGCTATTACAGGAACATACCATGTGATATCATGTGTGTCCACATCTCTCCATATGGTGGCGTCTCCTTGTGGACAGTCACTGGGTCTATTTAGTACTATTATTTAGTCATCGGGTCTTCATCTTTGGGTCCCTCACACTTGACTCAGTAACTGCACTTAGAGATACCCAGGGTGCGTTGTTGAATGAATCAGTTTGCTGCCAGTCTATTCACTGTAGCCCATTTTGCACTTTACCAGTTCAATTAAGCAACCATTTCTTTTGTGTTATTACTGCAAAGACAGAGCACAGCTGAGATGGACCAACTTCAGGCTTCTACCTAGTGGCCTGGAAATTCCAGTGTTTTTATTGGCGGAGGCCATTCATTTCTGATTAAAAGCTGTCTAGAAATCCGACTCCTCAACCCAAAGGAACCCACAGGTATATATGCCTATTTATTTCCAAACTTGCTGATTAATTTTGTCTTTGTGAGCTGTCTTTTCTAGGAGAAAGAGAGGGAAAGAGGGAGACAATTAGGGAGCTAGGGAATGAACACTGATAAATATTTGGTGGTAGGCACTTTTGTATAAGTAATGTCACTTCATTTAAAACTCAGACAATTCTTCAACATAGCCAATTTGCTGGGATTAACTGAGTGGTTAACCCATCTGTCAGTACAAAAGCTATATCGATGTTTGCAGAAATCCAGATTATAATACCAAGAAAAACTGGCTATAAATCCCTGGGACACGTACTTCCTCCAGTCTCTACTGACAAACATGGGCTTCCACATTTCTATAAGACCTCATCTAGAATGTCCCATATAACTTTCTTTGGGGGCTTTCTTCTAAATTATGGTCAGTCTGTCTTGCCTCTGTGCAAGATTAAGGCCCGCCCTTAACTCATGGAATATCTTTGTTGTATGGCAGGGGATGACCCATGGCCAGCTATTCTTCAGGACTCTAGATGCTTTGAATAAAACTTAACATTTTTGCTAGCTGCAGTTCCTAGGGTCCAGAGGGACTAGGTGGTAGCAAAGGGCCCTTTTAATACTGAGGGGATCTAGAGTCCCAAGGGGCACCTGGCTGGCTCAGTCAGTAGAGCATGCGACTCTTAATCTTAGGGTCATGAGTTCCAGCCCAACGTTGGGCATGGAGCCTACTTAAACACTACTACTAATAATAAAACATGTTTAAAAATTAAACAAAAATAAATAAAGTCTCAAGGGGATCAAGGTCCTGACTATACTAATTAATAATAAGAACTAAATTTAAATGAGCACTTACTATGTAGGAGACACACTTCTACAATCCTTCCAACATATCAATCATTTCATTTCATAACAAATATTTAAGATATTATTATTATTATTATTTCCATTACCATTGTACTCTATAGAAAACCGAGGCCCAGAGAAGACAAACAGCTAGTCCAAGGTCACACTATTAGTAAGTGACACTAAGATTTAAACCAAACACTCTGATTTCCAGAGTCTGATTTCATTTTTAACCAAAATGTGAATCTGCCTCAGCTCAAAGAGGGTGTGTATACCACTATAAGAGTTGAGTTCTATGACAGGAGGTTCCCTCCAGTCTTGTCATATAAAGAAGCTCAGCCCAACTTTCCCCCAACAGAGTACCATGGCCAGGCGAGTTGCAGTGATTGGAGCTGGTGTGAGTGGCCTGTCCTCCATCAAGTGCTGCTTAGATGAGGACCTGGAGCCCACCTGCTTTGAGAGAAGTAATGACATCGGGGGACTATGGAAGTTTACTGTGCGTAGTTTGTACCCTCCCACCTCCATCAGTCATAATCTGGCAGTCTGCTTTGTCCCTGTTCATGCATGGTGGCTTCAGCCTACCTTGATGATCACCTAAAAAAGCAGCTCACTGCAACACCACAGGCTTGTGTGCAGCATAGTGATGAACTTAGAGACTTGGCAGGGCGGGGGCAGTTGGAAGAGGGAGGAAGGAAGAGTTAAGTCTGATACACAAACATAGTATTGGAAGTTACAGTGATTTCTAGACCATGGACATTCTGAGACAAAGCAACAGTGTCGCATAGGTTAGGCTGAATGGCATTTGTGAATATGGAGCAGATGACGCTTTTGGAAGGATGGAAGTTGGCATCAGGGAGTGGAGCTCCAGCCCACAGGATTATTCAGGTCTTTGGGAAGAGAATTGGCAAGAGTGAAGCAAGAATCCAGACCCTGAAAGGTTGGGGTAGGCGGTTGGATAGTTTTCACATTATCACAATAAAAAGAGCCAAGGCACTGATCAATCCTTCTAAGGAGTGGAATGTGCTTCCTGGGGTGGTTACACCTAGGGCTAGGCCAGCTGTTAGGTGACTTGAGCAACAGAAGTAAGGGCTGGAAGTGGCCAAATACCACCTGCCTCGGGCCAGGATTGGTCCTGGTAACTGGGAGTAGCAGGATCTTCAGCAGGGACCTAGGGATCCGTCCCGTTGGTGGAGTATAAAGTGTCAGAAGATAAGCGGCCTAAATACTGGATGTTTCAGTAGTAATTGAAAAGCAACGTTCAGTGGGAGCTCATGGTGGAGGAGAGTACTTCAAAGTGGTATGAGGGAAGCCTTCATGGAGAAGGTGGCATGGGCCAGTCCTTGATACACGGTGAAGAAAACAGAAATAGCAAATGTATGTAAGCAGGTATGGTCACAACCCTAGGATTATAGTGTGCTAGGGGAAAAAGCTTCTTCTGGTGTACTGTGACACTGATTGAGCCACCAAATGTCAATGTGGAAAGAAAACACTGGGTTTGGTTTTTGTACCTTCTGCTATTTGACCCCACGGTTGATTTGGTTTTCTTCCCCCACTCTAAAGTAATACAGATAAATTTTAGAAAATAATTTTGAGTTATTAAAAAAAAGAAAAAGAAAATAAGAGTGTCTGGGTGGCTTAGTTAAGCGTTTGACTCTCGATTTCGGCTCCAGTCATGATCCCAGGGTCCTAGGATCGAGCCCCTCATCAGGCTCCCTGCTCCGCGGGAAGCCTGCTTCTCCCTCTCCCTCTGCCACTCCCTCTACTTGTGCTCTCTCTCTCTCTGTCAGATAAATAAATAAAATCTTAAAAAAATAAAATAAAATAAAATTAGAGTCTTCAGTATAAGTGCTGATGGGAAGGAGCCAATAAAGAGAAAGTGACTGAAAATATACATGGTGGGTGACTTGGGTGGCTCAGTCAGTTAAGCGTCCAACTCTTCATTTTGGCTCAGGTCATGATCTTAGGGTCATGGGATCGGGCCCCATATTGGGTTCCACATTCAGTGCAGAGTCTGCTTGAGATTCTCTCTCTCTCCCTCTGCTCCTCCCCCCAACTTGTACATGTGCTCTCTCTCTCTAAAATAAATAAATAAATCTAAAAACAAGAAAAAGAAAATATACCTAGACAATAAATACAAAAATCAGTGAGCAGTTCTGTGAGCAAAGGCAAGAGGAAGAAGTCCTCATGAGTGGAGAGATTGAGGATGGCAAAAAAAAAAGAAGAAAAAAATAAGCAAGTCAGACCGTAGGCCCCATGTTCATGGAATCACTGAATGGCAATGTTAGTCTTGGAGAGGCCTGCTAAATTTTGTTAATTTCTTTGTAGTTTGAGAAGGATACTGTGTTTAATAATTCCAATCTCACCAATGATTTCTGACAACTATAACATGGAGATCCAATGCTGTTTTCCTGGAACTCTTTGGAATTATAAATGGAATCTTTTTTCTTCCTGCCTCCCCCACCCCATCAAGCTAACTATGTTTCACCACAGGAAACTTCTAAAGATGGGATGACCAGGGTCTACAGATCATTAGTGACAAATGTCTGCAAAGAAATGTCATGTTATAGTGACTTCCCCTTCCAAGAAGATTATCCCAATTTCATGAACCAAGGAAAATTTTGGGACTATCTCAAAGAATTTGCTGAGCACTTTGACCTTCTGAAATACATTCGGTTTAGGGTAAGACAACTTGGGCTATGGAAGGTTAATGAATGGGGGCTGCCCATTCAGCAATCTAATGGAAAGGAGATCCTAAGTAAATTTATTCCTGATTTTATCTCTATCTGAATAAGGTAGATAATAAAGGCTCCTCACTTCTCCCATTTCTCATGTTTTACTCAAATAAATCATTAAGATACTGACTTTTCTGAGTCCTCTTCTGAATCCAAATTCTTATTTGGGATACGATTTAGAAATTTTTTTCTTGAGACGAAAGGAAAAATGAATTTTGTTCGTGAAACCTGCTGGGAAGAAATGACTAGGAATCTGAACCACAGAAATTATAATGAGCCAAAACTCTTCCTACATTTTCCCAATGCATTCGGTATTGTAACTCATCTCCTCCCTGGGAATAAGAACTAAGTGTTTCTTCCTTCCAGTGAAGGCATGCAGATGTTTTGGGTCCTACACTAGGACAGCTTTTGAGACTTTGTACAGGTTACTTAATTTCTTTATCAGGAAGATAAACCAATATTGACAGACCTCTTACCCTGAGACAGGTTTGGCCCACATGAAATAACAAACATGGTTACCATACCAGCCATTTCATGAGGTCCCAAGGTGATTGACAGAAAGTGAGTGTTTGTCTGCCACTTTCAGACCACGGTGTGCAGTATAATGAAGCGTCCAGACTTCTCTGAAACCGGTCAATGGGATGTTGTCACAGAGACAGAGGGGAAGCAGGAACGAGCTGTCTTTGATGCTGTCATGGTTTGCACCGGACATTACCTGAATCCCCGTTTACCTTTGGAGTCCTTTCCTGGTGAGTCATTTCTACCTGAGACCATGTCTACTCTTCTGGGTTCTCCTTGAAGAAAGTCATTTATTTGAATTGGAAATAATTCCTAATGATTAGAGACGACTCTGTGTTCACCCTAAGAAATAATATGTACAGATCTTTGAAAGGTATAAAGCACTATGTAGGTGTCTTCTTATTTACTTATTAATATAAATGCTGCCATTACTGAAGTTTATCATGCCTGTCTGATTCAAGTTCAATGATCACATAAGGCTGAGGTGTCATAAAAAAAAAATGCAAGCTTTTGAATTTTGTCATTGAATTACAGGTCATTTGAATCAGGAGTGATCTGTAATTCAGTAACTTAAAGGAAGTGTGAGTATAAAGAAACTTGACAGATTTGTTTTTAAGAAACAGAGCAGCAATTATACATCCAAAGAAATAGTTTCATCCTTCAAAACAGTCACCACAATAATAATCCATACATCTCTTATACCAAGGCTGTCACCACAAAGGAGTTTTAGAAATTCCTTTTGGAAATGCTTTTGACTCCAACAGCACATTTTTTGAAATGTACAGTTGGCCTTTGAACATCCCAGGGGTTAGGGATGCTGACCCCCTGCATAGTCAAAAATCCCCGTATAACTTTTGACTCTCCCCAAAAAACTTAACTACTAATGGCCTACAGTTGACTGGAAGCCTTATTAATAATATAAACAGTTGATTAACCCATATTTTGTATGTTATATATTATATACCATATTCTTACAACAAAGTAAGCGAGAGAAAGGAAAGTGTTACCAAGAAGACCATAAGGAAGAGAAAATACATTTATAGTACTGTATGGTATTTACTGAGAAAAATCCATGTATAAGTGTCCCCACATAGTTCAAGCCCATTGTTGTTCAAGAGGCAGCTATACTGATGATTGGCAGATCTCCATCTTTTGAGATCAAATGAGGATTATTAAAATGTAGTACAGCTACTCTTCTTCTGTCACTTATAAGTGGCTTTAAAGGCAATTGAGTAAGTGAAGTTTGGAAACTTCATTAAGGAACTGAAAGAACGTTTAAGGAAGAGTGTGAAGAATAAAACTTGCACACCTGGGCCAATAAAACAAAAAAACCAAAATGTTTGTAAATCTTATAAACATAATCTCAAATTAACAAAATATCCCACTTTAAACAAATGTTTTGGGGATCAAGTGAGACTTCAGTGCATAATTTTGCGAAGAAGCAATTGTATAAATGGTGGTTGGGCTTCAGACTTGCAGCAAGCCTGTGGGCTAAAAACACAATGGCACTGGACTAAAGAAATATAGAAGCACCTTTTATAAAGAAGTTTCTACGGGGAGATGTGCTACAAGTGTCAAATAATTGATGTTTTTGGAATGTAGTGTCTTGTCAGGTTTGGCTTGGCTTACCCTCAGTTCACTTAGACTCTGACTAAAAGATGCTATTGCAGAAGATCAGGCAAGTACTGAGAGGTGAGGATCCTTGTGGCAGTTTAAAAGTGTATAATCTGGAAGAGTTGGTTCCAAGGAAAGAGACTGGGCAAACATATAATAGAATCGCAAGGTAGTTTGAGATCATTTCGAGAGCAAACGCTTCTCTATACCTTAATGATCTCTGGGGAAGAAATGATTGCATTAGAAGTATTGGTGTGCCCTTCTCTTTTGCCCCAAAGCCCAGATTATGGAAAAGGAAGAAATCCACACATACAGATTTCAGCAATCCTCCTCAGGAGGTCTAAGTTTATGACCAGACTCTAGAAGGATTTGTGACAGCAGGACACCAGGACAGATACCCCAGTTTCCTCTGTCTTCCCAGAATGAGGAATCCTGGTGAGTGGACACAGTGGAAGTTTTCTAAGGAGTTCTGATCTGCTCCAGTTCCCTCAGGGCAATGACCCTTGATGATAAGTGACCTTTAGCATACTAGTTATGAACAAAATCCTAAAGTCAGCAGCCTGGAGCACATCCCGGTTCTAATTGCAGAATCTTGGGTAAACTTCACCCAATGACTCCATTTCATAGAGCGGTCATGAGAATTCAATGAGATCATCCATGTAAAACACTCAGCGGAGGACAGAGCACATAGGAGCACTCCATCAACGTTAGCTACCAGCGCTGTGACTCATGACCTACTGGGAACTGGTATGAACCCTTTGAGAACTGTTCAGAAGGAGCTGCTTCCTAAGAGCCATGTGATTCCCCCAGACTAAGAACTATCCATCCCTCTGTTATAACTCCCGCCTCGGCAGCCATCCCACCCCAGAGTTCGAGCTTCTCCTGTATCCCAGGTGGGAACCCCTGGGCGGGTAACACAGACACGAGTTCTGCATCCCTCTCCCACACACAAAAGGTGTGTGAGAGTGACTCTCCGACCACATATCAATTGTGATCGTTAGTTATAGATGAGTGATGTGAATGCCTAATTGTGTTTGATCAATTATTAATAAATCTCTTTAAACTTTGTGAGCATGATAAATGGAATTCAAGTGCATTTCCTAACACATAACCTTAGGGCGATAAATACAAGATGAACAAACCACAGCAGCAAAGCATTCCAGAGATAATTAGTGACAAGGCAGACTAAGCCCCATGCCCCTCGGCAGACCCTGAGGGTGTCACTGTATAAGAGGACAATGTAATAATCGAAGGTTATAAGGATGACCTTGAATTATCAGTATGTTCTAGTTTTAGGACATAAAATATATAATACCCTTCAGAAAGATTTCTGTAAAAAAAAAATTAAGATTTTGATGTTTCTGTGTTAAATTGCCCAGTTGTCTGAAAACTTCTCTCCCCTAAATGTTGCATTTCCTTGGCATCAAATGATGCATTTATTATATTGCATTAGACTTCCCCAAAGTGAGGGGATGGCACTCCAGAAGTGCTCAGTAGTCCCCAGTTCTCCTCTCCCTGTCCCCATCCCCATACACGGATGTGAAATAGAAAAAGGAAAATACAGTAAAAATGAAAGCTGAACCTTGAAGTAATTTTCCGTGACAATAGTATATGTTTAATATGTGCTTACTGAATGAAGTCAGTTACCCAACAGTCTTTTATGAAAACAGCCTGAAGGAAAAGAACTAGTGTAATGATAGACGTAGGCTTTGACCTCAGCACAGTGTTTCCCAACAACCACCAAGACCTGAGGTGCTTATTTTAAAAGCAAGTTAATGTGGTATTTACAGAATAAGAACCTCCGAAAGTGGGACCCTGGAATCCTAATGTTTCCCCAGCAATGTGATTCTGATGGAAACTAAAGGTTAAGAATCATTTCCATAGTCCGAGTAGAGGCAGCCTCGCCCTGTGGTTACCATGTGGTTAAGTTCAAGTTGTGCCTCTGACGTTTATTGGCACCTGGGCAAATCCTGTGTCCTAAGTCCCTATTTCTCCACCTGTAAAATGAAGTACTCATAGCACCTTTTTCCTAGGGTTGCTTGAGGATGAAATCAGCTGCTAGCCATGGAGTGCCTAGCACAGGACCTAGAACAGGACCTAGAACAGTTCAGTGGAACTTATGGGTGTTGGCATGAAAGAATTCTACCCACTCTTTTGCAGAAAAAGAAATGGAAAAAAAATTACTGGTGCCAAATTAAAGATAATTATTTTCTATTTCCAGGGCAAACTCAATCACTTAAGTCATTTGAGGGAAAAAAATAGCTTGAAAGGTAGCACAAAATTGGAGTCATAAAACTGGAATTTAAATCCTGTCTCTGGTACTTATTAATTATATGGCCTTAAGCCAATCACTTAACCTTTCTAAGCACTAATGGATTTACCTGTAAGACAAGGATGAATAACTACCCCCTCCAGGAGGATTGCTGCAAATCTGACTTGAGAGAATAACTGTGGAAGCACCTGGCTGAGCACAATTCACTAAGATTTTTTTGTAAAAGGTAACTTCCTGCTAAACTGTAACATGAATTCATTCTTTGAGTAACAACAATGCAATTTACCGTGCACAAAGCCATGACAGAATGATACTGGAAGAAACAGGGGAGGGTACTGGAGCATAACATGGACGTTAAAAGTCCAGGATCTTGCATCAGAGTACTTGCATTTAAATTCCCAGCTCGGGGCTCCTGGGTGGCTCAGTCGTTAAGCGTCTGCCTTCGGCTCAGGTCGTGATCCCAGGGTCCTGGGATGGAGCCCCACATCAGGCTCCCTGCACAGCAGGAAGCCTGCCCCACTCCCCCTGCTTGTGTTCCCCCTCTTGCCGTCTCTCTCTCTGTCAAATAAATAAATAAAATCTTGATAGATAGATAGATAGATAGATAGATAGATAGATAGATAGATAGATAGATAAATTCCCAGCTCTCAGGGCACCTGGCTAGCTCAGTCAGTGGACTGTGCAACTCTTGATCTCAGGGTCACAAGTTCAAACCCCACGTTGCATGTGGAACCTACTTACAAATTAATTAATTAATTGTTAATTAATTAATTGAAGTAAGTTCCCAGCTCTCTATTCATTGACAAGTGTGATGTCACAAAAATCACATAATCCCTACAAATCTGTTTCCACATATGTAAGATGTGTAAAAATAGTATAGACTTCAAAGGGTTATTGTGAGAAAAATCCATGTAATCACTCTATAAGTGTTATTAGAACTGCAATACAAAATGTCCTTTGGATCTATTAAGGATTCCCTGCCCTCAATTTATTCTGAGGGAAAAGATTATAATCTCTTTCTTTCTAAAACGACCCCCACTCCATTCAGATGAAACATTAAATTGAAGTTCCATCTGCCTGAGTTTAGAAGTTATTAATGTTAAAGTTTCTTATTGCTCTGGTTTAGAAAAAGGAGGATGTACATACATGTGTCCTGGCTGACATTGCCTTTTTTCTGTAAAAAAAAAATATGGGTGGGGCGCCTGGGTGGCTCAGTCGGTTAAGCTTCTGCCTTCGGCTCAGGTCATGATCCCAGGGTCCTAGGATCGAGCCCC